CTACTCAAAGTGCCACTCCCACTTTATTGCTTATTCTAGACTTTTCCATTGAATATTTTCAGTCCATGGTGATAACCAGCAACAGAAATCAAGGAAACAAAACTGCAGACAAGAGCTGACTACTTTAATATATTATTCTCAGGCCATGAGGACACGGCAACTGAAATCCATGCAGCCATGTAAGGGAAGAAGCTGAACTTGAACCCTGTTCACCCTGGAAAGAATGCAGAGCCTTTGTCCTCACTTGTAGGCCTTTGGGGAACACTGGAAATACATCCCAGACACCAAGAACAGAATTGCACAGCCACTTTTCTTCCTTCCTAATCAGTATCCACTGGGTCAAGCTCTTCATCTACACCCATTACTCTAGGGAATTAGAGAAGCACTAGGTCCCTCTGACTTGCCCCTTCTCTTCTGGCTTGTGAAGTGTGAGATTTGCTACTTGCTATGGGAAGTCCTTCTGCAAACCCAAAGCTTTGGAATCTCACCTGTCAATAAGCTGCTTCCATGCGGCTTAAATTACCACAGGCTTTGTTGAGGAAATATGTGGCTGGAGTTTTGGGAGTTGGGACTTCATTGATTAGGTTCAGCTTGAAACAATGGATTCAGACACAGCATTGCAGGAAAAACTTCTACTCAGCCACAGATAAAAGTTTTCGCATTAAAACTCCAAGACACTCACATCTACAAACCAGTTGACCACTCAGGAAGCTTTTTTCTATGTGCTGGCAGTCAGACATAGCCTCATGACCCATGATACCTCACCCTCCCGGGCTAAATTCAGACAGAACTGTTACTCGTTTGTGCTGACTCAGTAGCGTGGAAGTGGGATGTATAGCTGTCTGACATTACACTCCTGTTCCACTGATGTGACACATTCAGGGTGCTCCTAAGGCACTTAAGAAAAGACTCCAGTTATCTGTCCTTCTACATATTGGCTCGCTGTGGCCTTAGAGTCTGCATTCATGAAGTTATTCTCTATTCTCTGATGAGTCCCATCATGCGATGCGTCCAATCATGTGATCATCTCCACATCTCTGTACAAGATATCTCTGCTAAACCCCTCCCACCCACCCTAAGTGTCCTCTCTGTCTCTGAAACCCTTCCTGATTTCTCCTCTAACCTTCCCCAGAAAACCTCCAACTGGATGTGGCTTCAACTTTTCATAGCTTGTCCACCCACAGTATCTGGTTTCTAAATGGTGAAGCAGAAATTGAGGTATCTTTCTCTCTTGCTTCCAGCTGACATTAACTAATCATCTGGCCATAAATTAGATGCTGCACTGGTGCCTAAAACATAAAAATGTGTCAGTCAAGATCCTTGCCCTCAGTGAGCTTACAATGACATGATAAAGCCTTGCTTCATAGAGTATTGGGAGCCCAGGAGAGCGGAGAATTTACTGACTGGAGAAACACATGTGATGGCACTTAGGTTATACTTAGGGTTGTTGACTGGGAAATTAAGGGAAGGTTCTCTTAGTTTAAAAGAACAGTATGAGCAATAGGCCCTGGTTAGAGGTGGGGTACAAGTACTCAATGTTTATTGAATGAATAGATCAAAGATGGCCCAAACTATAGCATTGTCTTAGCTACTACTTCTCTAAGACCTTCTACAGTTACTGAGTGTCTCTGGCATTTCCGTCCTTGATATCAACTCCTTAAGATTTGTAAAAATCCTCCTTATTTTATATATAAGGAGGCTGAGACCCCCACCCACCCATACACACCAAAAATCTGAAAGCTAGCAAGTGTCAATGCCCACCCTGAGTCCCCAATAATAGAAGGAGTTCATCTTTGAGGGGTAATTTGTAGAGCAAAGTCTAGGTCCTCTTCCTGTACATCTGGGTGGACCACTCTAGTCATCCCTCAGAACCCAGGCTTCTGGAAAAGTAGACAGATGCAAAAGAAAAGCAACTGAAGCCACAGTGCATTAGGATTTGGGGCACAACGGGGTCCTGGACCCCCACAAGCCTGGTGGGAGCCCACTAGGGAATCATCATTTTCAGAGACTCCAAATGAGGGCCCTTCTTCCCAGCACCCAGCTGACAACAGACAGCTCAGAGAGAGCCACCCAAAGTCATCACAAGCTAAACCGGGCTTATCAAAAGCTCTCCTAGGGCTCAAAGAGTTGAATTGGATCTCTGGCTTCCCAGGACAAAGCATTTCGGTTTTGATAGAGTTCTTTTCTCTCCCCTCTTTTGTCTGATCATTTTCTCAATTTCTCCCTCTCTAGCTCAGGCTTTTTCTGTGATGCTTACATTGGGTGAATGTTTCTCCCTCCCCATCCCAGCTCAAACTATTATATCTAGCCATTGTGGTGTTCCTTTTCCTCTGAAAGCAATCAAAAATGAAAATCCCCATTTCAGAAGAGTGTCTATTAACTATGCACCTTTTTGTGGATTAAAAAAGGAAAGAGCTCACTGAGGACTGACTTCAGCTGTGTTTCACCTACAGATTAGATGCTGGGTGAGACTTCTGCATCTGGTAATCGAGAAAGAGGTCAGGGAGTCTGGAGTAGAAGCCACTTACTGTAAAGAATAGCTTAGTCTAAAGCACTAATCAAACTGTGGTCTTTGGACCAGTCAAAAAGGCTTAGCCCAGGAGTTTATTGAATATAGACCCCTGGGGCTGAAGAGATGGCTCCAAAGTTAAGAGCACCTGCCTTTCTTCTAGAGGACCTGAGTTCATATCCCAGCACCCATGTGCCTCTCATGACTGCCTGTACCTCAGGCTCCAGGAAATCCAGTGCTCTCTTCTGACCTCCTCAGGAACCAGTACAAACATGGGAGACACACACAAATAAACAAAAATAATAAATTAAAGAACATAGACGTGCAGACTCCCAGGGACCACTCAAAGCCAGCGGAACCAAGATCTATCTTTTAACAAGTTTCCAGGTGACTTACGCACACATGGACATTTTAAAAGCAGAGATCTGAAGCAACAGTAAATTCGCCTTTATTGTCAACCTAGAGACTACATAGATGTCTTTTCTAAGAAAGTAAACCTGTCTTGCCAATGTCTTTGGATGTCCCCCTCCATCCTTTCCTGCCCACACTGTGGATTCACAAAGGAATCCTAAAATGATAAGCATTCCCCTACAAATCATCGTCAGCCCAACAAAGCGTTGGAGGTGAGATCAGACGGGTGGCCAGCCATTCTGCAGCAGATGAACCCTAGAAGGAAAGGGCTCTGACACAAAAGGATGACAGGGAACCCTTACCCCCACCATTTCCAAGGTTCCGGAAAGGGACAGGAAAAGACACCACCATATAAACTACAAAGGTAACTCGTGAGTCCAAAGGGTCTTGCTAAGAATCTGGGAAAGCTCTGAAAACAATGGATGAAGCCGAGAGCATAGCCTTTAAGTTTAGACCTCACGCAACAGCAGAGATACAAGGAGATGGACTCTGATAAGCATTTGTCATCTATGTGGGAGACATGGGCCAGGACGATAGAAAATCACCAGACCTTGGTTATAAGGACCAGGAGCTAGACCTGAAAGACCAGAGAGAGGAAAAGCCCAGGGCCTGTTTACCCACTGATCCCCATGTTCTCATGAGGTAGAGCTAGTATCCAGAGAGGGGAGAACCCTGGCAGGCCACAAAATCAAGGTCTGGACTCACAATTGACCTTGTCCTCTGTGAGGAGGGCAGCTGCCTCAGAGGCGTTTCTAGTGAAAACTAAATAACAGCACAAAAAGTTATTCCTTGGAAGAAATAAAATGAAAATAACCACCCCACCCACCCTATCCAAAGCCAAAGTCAGACTTTTCTCTGATTCTGACTCCTTGCACACCGCAATAAACATTTTCGTACCCATGTAGAATGCCTGAATGGCTGACTGCTCTGTGTCAAGGCCTGTGTTGTCATTCCCCTCCCCCCAGTTTTGCTAAATTTCCACTCACTTATTAGATCCCTCTTCACCTTCAAAGTCTCCGAAACAGCGACATTTTCCAATGTGGAAATGGTTCATTTATGCCAAGCAATACTTGCTTATCATCTAATGACAATCTACTTAGGCATCCACAGAGTTGGTTATGAGAACACAAACTTGTCCTTCCCATATCCACACCAGCAAGCTCTCAAGGAATATATGGAACAGACAGGAATGATGGACAGTGGTGCACAAGGGAGAAAGGAAGATACTTAAGCAGGGAAATTCAGACAGGAACTCCATCTGTCTTCCTCTGCCACAGCCAAAAGATAACCCTCTCCCTTGGAGTCAAGTACCTTATAGATGGGCCGCCTACAGACACTAGGGCTATCCGTTTATTTCAGTCAACATCCACTTTTTTACTTGATCCCCACCCCCTTGTAAACCAGAACAAGCTAAGCAGTCTTTCAGAAATGCATCTGAAGCTCTGCACCCTTCCCCACCCCCAACAGCCACCAACGTGCCTCAACACACCACCTCCAAGAAAGAGAAAGTTAACTTTCAAATAAACCTGTCCTTCAACAAGCCTGACTGTGTTTCCAGACTCATCACTTTCTTAAAGGTGGTTATTCTAGTGTTGCCAAATCCAGAAGCCAAAACCTGAACTGTCTGAAAAATGCAAAGATCAAAGGTCAGAGGTCCACAAATACACCGTCGTTTTCCTCTCTTCCTTCCTTCCTTTCCTTTCTCTTTCTTTCTTTCTTTCTTTCTTTCTTTCTTTCTTTCCTTCTTCCTTCCTTTCTTTCTTTCTTCCTTCCTTTCTTTTTTCCCCTCTTCTATCCCTCTTTTTTCTTTCTTGACCAAAATGGGAATAATAAACCAGGCTTTTTGTCCTTCCTTCAAAAAAGCCCAATTGGGCAGCTGGTGGGTGTGCGAACCTGCACCGGTTCCACAGAATTTTCCGTGAACTCCAGGGGTTCTGCAGAAGGCTGGGGCACAAGAATTCTGTTTCTCAGGTACCCCTAAAGTCTGCATGTATGCAGGAGTTGCAGTCCTGTCCTGTCAGCAAAGGCTCCCCTCCCTGCTGGGACGTCCAAGGCTCCCCCATCACAGAGGGTCACTCACCACCCGTGAGCTGTGCTGGGCCAAAGCACAGCGCCAGTTGAAACCACAAGATCACCGCCAAGAGTCTCTGGGGGGACTGAGGCTGCTGTTGCTGCAGCTGCTGCTCTAGAAATCCATCTCCATTGCTCGGGTTCATTCCATGATACATCTTTCATCCACAGAGGGCATCCAGCTTGCAAGAGTCTGCAACCAGGAGCGGAACACGACAATAACCCCGGGTTGCCTGGGCTCTGGGGCCACGCTCTCCCTCCTCCGCCCCCGGGACCCGGTGCCTGGGCTTTGCGGGCTCCATCCCGGTTCGCCCCTGTGCAGCCCCCGCCCCCTTTCTCACGGCGAGATCCTCCTGCCACCCCCCATGCAGGGTCCAGAGAGTAGCAGCCACCATGGGATACTGCGCGTGCGGGAGGGTGGAGGATGGGAGAGAGGACAGGGGTTAGTGCACGCTGGCTCTAGGCTGGTCCCTGGGATTCAGCGGTTGTGATCATGACAGGAAAGTCTAAAGCCTTCTAGCATCAAGCCGCTGAGAAAACACTTTTCCCCGGGCCTGTACATTTTACTCGCAGGAATCTCACAATGTGCCCCCTGCTGCCCCCCCCCCCCGCTACTTCTCTGCTTTTCCAGGGATTGGGAGGGTCCTATTGCCCCAGTCCCCTCTGAAATCTGAGCTGTGATTTTTATTTTAAAAATTCCACCCTTAGGGGTGCTGAGCCCGGAGCCAACTCGCCCAGGCCGGCCTGTGCGTGCCTCCCGGGGCAGACAAGCCCCTTCCGGGCTCCGGCTCTTACCTGTGGGTCTCATGCATGCAGCTTCCTTCCCTCCTCCGCCTCCTCCCCCCGCCAGTCTAACCCGCATCTGTGCGCGACCTCTGCTGCCGCCGCTGCGCGAGCGAGCGAAAGAGCGAGACGGAAGCCTTGGCGGCTGCCGGGCTACACCGCCCCCGCCCGTCCCGCCGCGCGCTCCCTTCCCGGGCTCCCCCGAGCGGCCGGGGGAGGGGGGTCGGGGGTGACAAGGACCAAGGCGGCCGGGCTGCGCGCCCCCGAGGAGGCGCTCGCGTGCCCGCTACCTGAGCTCGGGAGCGCGCTGCGGCGGCGCGGGGAGGGGGAGGGAGGGATGAGGCGGGGGCGCGCGCGGGGGAGGACTGGGGCGCGCAGGCCTGCACGCGCCTCCCTGGATCCCAGCCAGCAGTAGTGGTGGGGGTAAAGGGATGGCGAGGGCGGAGGAGGACGCCACGGCCAATGGGAAGCCGGCGCGCCTGCACCTGTCGGGCACGAGTCGCCAGGCGGCGGCACACGCGCACACGCATATGCACGCACACAGACTCAGGCACACGCACGCGCGCACACGCCCAGGTCTGCACCGCGATCCTTCACCGGTGGCCTCTGGTGCCCTGTGCGCATCACCACAGGGTGAGATGGCGAAGGTGGCCTTAGGTAGAGGGATCCCACCCAGGACCATCATCGACGACCGGGTTAACTTGAATGGGGCGGAGTGAGTTCGTTCCTTACTAAAAACCTCAAGTACCTAGTGACCCCAGAGCACCTCCGCGGGCTCTGCGCTTCTCCTAGAGCCCAGAGGACGATTCGAGGAGGCTGGGTCTCTGTGCCCTGTCCCTTGCACCCTTGGCATTTGCCCTCTTGGCTGCCTTGGAGATGAGTGCATCCCTCGGAGCTTTCTCTCAAGAGTCTCTCTCTCCCCCAGGGAGGCTATGGGTGCCAATGCAGAAAGCTGGGTATCACATGAAAGGGATGCTTATGGCCCATGGGTAAGAACCGAAAAGGATGAAGATTCCCCTGGTCAACTGTCCCTTTCTGGTATCTTGTAAGTTCAGCCTGCTGCGAGCTCTGTTCTCCCAGCCTATTCCTGCCTTTTGCAGTTCCCCAGCAAGCTAGGCCTCCCTCTGCGGGTTGGGCTCCTAGGGCCCAGGTTCCAGCCTTAGTGATTAAGGGGTGTGTCCTAATGAGGCTGTGTAGGCAGGCAGTATTTTCCAACCACTGGCACTCCATTATTCTGTAGCAATTTGTAGATATGAAAAACCATGCTTCTGATACAGCTACCAAATCATCCCATCCTTCTATCGACTTTCCCAAACTCTTACATGCTAAAGGTAGTTGGGAAATTACAGCTTTTACTGTGTCGGCTCTTACTGTGAGGAATTTTAACAAATTTTTGAAGGAGAAATTAGCTTTCAGGAGATAAATCAAGTTCAATTTTTTTTCGATGTCTGCTTTGCCCAGAGTAACTTTAACATTTTTGGCTATAGCAAATGCATTCCTGCTAAGGCATGTACTTTGAGGCCCCAAAATATTGCTTGGGTATTTTCCCATGTTTCCAAGGTCCCAAAATTGTTTGCTGCAAATTGAAAATGTATTACAGTTTTTTCTCAATAAAATGTCTACCCCGTTTTAAATAGCTGTCAAGTCCACAGGGCTCAGAACTGTTGAGCATACAACAAACATATCTGAAATCTTCCTCTTAGCTGCAACAGTCAAGGTTTATACAGAATGCCAGGGTCAACATGAATATTCATCAGGCCCAAATATGGGGTCTATGCTTAACTCTGCTTTCTGACATAGCAGTGTCCAGCTGGGACTACAGCTCAGTAGTAGAGCATCTGCCTAGCTTTGGTATGAGGCTCAGGGCTCCATCCCCAGTACCATAAAAATTAAATCGTTTGCGAACAAGGTTGTGTAGCTTCATCCAGTACTTGAGGCAGCCTGTTGTATTTGCCTATAGCATCCTTATGTGGGTTTGCTCTTCTACTGCTGGAAAAAAAAAAAAAAAAGCTGACCAAAAGCAACTTGGGGTGTGTGTGTAAGGTTCACTTGGCTTACAAGTTATGGTCCATCACTGAGGACAGCCAGGGCAGGATGCTGAAGTAGAGACTATGGAGTAATGCTGTTTGCTTACTGCTTTACTTTCCATGGCTTGCTTAGCCTGTTCACTTATTACAGCTTAAACCCACCTGCCCAGGAATGGTACCCAGCCCCCACCCCTGACACACATACAGTAGGCTGGGCCCTCCTGCACCACTCAGCATTTAAGAAAATATCCCCCACAAACATGGCCACATGGAGGCAATTACTCAGTCGAGAGTCCCTCTTCTTGGATATGTCTAGGTTTATGTCAAGTTGGCAAAAGCTGTAACAGAACCAAAAGCTACCCTTCCTGAAACTTCACCTGTGGTTCTGCCTCTCCTTTCCTGGCCCATGCAGCTCAGCCAAATTCTTCTTGAAGACAGACTTTCAAGGGCTGGAGAGATGACTCAGTACTTAAGACCACTTGCTGTTCTTACAGATGATTCGAGTTTGATTCCCAGCACCTACATGGTAGCTCACAACCATCTGTAACTCCAGTTCTAGGGTACCCAATGTCCTTACCCTCTTCTGATCTCCATGGGCATCAGACATGCATGTAGTGTACACACATACATGCAGGCAAAAAATTTATGAACATAAACTTAATAAAATGAGAGACAGCATTTCATCCAAGTGGAGGTAGATCATGCTCCCTTGCCTTTCCCTTCTCTGGATCATATGTAGTCACTCCCCTTGATGTGACAATTCCCAGGTTCCTCACTAGCTTGTGGTCAAACTAGAGGTGACAGATCTCCCCAGTGCCCACTCAGCTCTAGCACTGAGGGCTTGTTTGGAAAAGGAAGCATATGGTATGATCACTCTGTGCTCTCGCCCATGCAGGATAGGACTGGGCGTTCCCACCATTCCCATTCACACAATGGAAGCTTTTGGAAGATGACTACAGCGCAACATGTTGTCAGTCTCCTACATTGTCTCATGGTTTTGTTTTATTTTCCATAGTTGCCATAAAATATCATGAAATTGGTGGCTTACACAACAGGAATTCAATTTTTCCAAGTTCTGGGTGCTGAACATCCAAAGCTAAAGTGGTTTGGGTGCAGATTAGAGCCTCCTGTATGTTCATGTGGCCTAGACACTCTGTGGTACCTAAGACAACCCTGATGGCCTCATTTAAATGTAATTGCCTCTTTAAAGGCCTTGTCTTCAAAAACCAGTCATATTCAGAGGCACTAGAATCTAAAAAATAAGCCATCTTGCCAGGCAGTGGTGGCTCACACCTTTAATCCCAGCACACGGGAGGCAGAGGCAGGCAGATCTCTGTGAGTTTGAGACCAGCCTGGTCTACAAGAGCTAGTTCTAGGACAGCCTCCAAGGCCACAGAGAAACCCTGTCTCAAAAACAAAACAAAACAAAAAAACCATCTTGAATATAATTGGATATACACTTTCTCCAGAAAAGGAGATAGTATGACTCAGTTCTTTCCAAGTGATGGAAAACTTAACCTCCTCTGTCCTTCTCACTCCTACAGGAATTCACTACCAAACTGTAGAAAGCAAAAGCCTCCTGACTTACTCTAAAGACTTCTTAGAGTATTAGACAGACACAGAAGTAGTTGTGAAATTCAGGATAACTTCATCTTCTACTTCCTGCTACTATAACTTAATGCCACAGTCAGGTAATTTATAAATACTGGAGGCTAAGTAGTTCAAGAACAAGAACTACTTCTGGTAAGGGATTTCTTGCTACATTATAGCATGGTAGAAGATACCACGTGGCCAGAAAGAAATGGGAGGGAGGGAAGGAAGGAGAGAGGGAGGGAGAGAGGGAGGGAGAGAGAGAGCGCACTGACACCCATCCTTTTTTCAGAAACTCATTCCTTGTAAGCAACTCACTCCTGGAATAGCATAAGTCCATTCATCAAGATGGAGCCCGCATGACCCAAACAATTCCCATCGGGCTTTGCTTCACTCACTGTGGCACTTGGGGGTTAAGTTTCCAACAGGTGAACCTTCAGGAAAACACTGAAAACTAAAGACAGAAGCCAAGTAATGATCTTTTCTCTTTTCCCTGGGTGTCTTGAATTATGAACATCCAGGAAATGTATAGTCAACTTACTGATGCCCAAACATGCAGGACACGAGGCCAGGATCACACTGAATGCTGTGTTTCTGTAAAGATCCAAAATTCTCTGAAGCTGTGGTCCATCCAGTACATGGGCCCTGGAGGTTCAACCCAATATGTGAGCAGGCAAGTTTCAGGAGCTGCTGAGATAGATAAAGCAGCTCATGTAGACACTAGCAGTTCCCACCTCCTTCATCCATACAAAGTGTGCTCAGTGAGTGGGCACATGGCATTTTTCAGTCAACATATTAGGTACAGAGACTACAAAGACATGAAAATATTCAACAAGTTTATAGCCTATGGGGAAATTAAAAAAAAATAAGTCAACTATTACAGTAGTAAAGCAAAGTTTGGGAGGTACAAATGAGATGATGCCCTGGAACAGGATCCTGGGGGTGGCCTCAATATGTATTGTGAATACAAACACCTGTGTGCCAGTGTGGGTTTGAGGAGAACAAAAGGAATCAAATAGTTCAACAAGTTTCCTGGGCATATAGAACAGCCTAGGCAGTGACTAGGAGGGAAGGGTTAGGGATAGCAACCAAAGACAGAGTTTACAATGCAAGCAGGGAAATGCCAAATGGCACAATGTCTGAGACGCATCTAAGGCCATGCCAGGAGGAGCCTGGAAAGCCATATAGGCAAGTTTAGCTTTGGTCTGAAGACAAAGAGACAAGACTAGGAAGGCATGGACACACTATACAGAGTTCTCCATTCCTCCTTGGCTCACAGACACATGGAAAGGATCACTGACGAATTGGAGAATGCCAGTTAAAGAAATACCTGGTCCCCTCCCCACCCTCTGTGGACTACAGACACATGTGTGAGCATATCAAATGTTTGATGCACATGCAGGGAAAATGAGCATCTCCATTCTACCTCTAAGAACTCAAACTCCTCATGGATTAGCCACGTTTATCATCTGACTCTTCGGTATCTGTCTGGGGGCCTTGCTTCTCTGTATGGGATATCCTTCCCAGGATTAGCCAATGTGTAGAGACAGTAAACCGGAGTCTGTCTATCCACTCCCTCCCCTGGGAATCTTCACACTCAAGATCAGTA